ACGGAGGCACCATGTTTGTGTGTGGACGCGCTTATACGCGGTGCTTCAATGTGCCCGCATCTCCGCTAAAAGCGCTAAATTCCAGGTTTTGCGGTGCTGGTTGAACTAGCCAAGTAGTTTTCGAATTACTTGAGATTGATATTTGTTGAATACACTGGTGTGCTTCGCGCGAACGGCCATTTTATATATCCTGCGCACCAGACTTTTGTTTTGCTAATATCGCCCAAAAAAGAAATAAAGCCCCTTTTTCGTCTGCATTACCAGTATATCACATTATGAAGACAGCGAACAGTTGAACTCCTTTGCAGCGAGCACATTTTCTCGTTGGCGTTGAAATCATTGGACACATCATCGTGCAGTGTTTCACAAAGTCAAAATCAACCAGTAACGCGGTATCTGAGCTTACCTAGGAAAGCAGTAAAAATCTTAGTGAGACAACTTTGATCTTTTGTCTTATTCTCGAAAACACATGGCACTGTATGCAAAGGATAAGTGAGAGGAACGACGTGTCTGGACCTTCTTCCTTGGTCGCCGCCCATGCATGTTACAGAAGCTGAACTGCATAAAAGTGAGCTGGGAATTGGCAAAAACAAACACAATTAGCTAAGCTAAGAAGTGCGTAAGCAAAGATTGTCTAGTCCCACGCACTCGCTGTAAGCACAAGAACGTTGCAGCCCGCATCGCTACAAAAGTCCACGCAGAACCCTCACATGCTTAAGGGAATGCCACCTCAAAGCGAAGCCAAAAATCTCTTGGGAACCAGGCAACAAGCTCCGGTGTAAGGAGCTTAGACGAAGACAAGCTTTTGTCAGCACCTATTGACAGTATCCACAGTTGCCTGAGCTGTGCAAAATGTGACAATTGCCTGCGTCAAAGGCAACTACAATTGTTTCGCAGACTGAATATGGAATAATGATGTTGAAGGATACACTGTTGCCTAGAAAAGAGTGCATTTGCCGGTTAAGCAAGTACTGCACGTAGTGTAATAACGTGGTACGCGAGGGGTGCACGTATGTTTCTGCACTTCAGGAGCATTCGCTTTTCCACAACAGTTTACAGCTTGCCAGTGGAACCTCAGCTTGCCTTGAAGACTTCGTCAAGGCACGCGCCAAAGATGGGATTGATGGTCTCCATCTGGACAGCATTGTCACAATCGGAAGCGTTCGCACCCACAAAAGCTTCCAGGGGCACGGAATTCTCTCCTAAAAGCCGAGATAAAGCAAGCCTGAATTATGGATTGCAGCGCACCCTTCACGCGAACGAACAGAACGAAAAAACAGGAAGGAGTTCCCGACTAAAATCTCTTTAGCGCCACAGATCCACCGTGCATGCATGGCGAAGTCCCAAACTATTAATTGGCTAAAACCATACCTACAGCCAGTGCGTATCGTTGCCGGAATGTGATGAAAGGATACACGGTCTAAATACGTGTTTCCATGGGGTTGCGTCTGAGCACAGGCACGTTCACTATTCCATGTAGCAGCTTCTCAGAGACAAGTTTTGCAGGGTATTCAAGCCAACACAGACGCTGGAAGTGGTTTTGGCCAACATGTTGAGAACTCGCCTTCACTTCGATTCCATTATGAAAATACGCAAACGTGCGAACAGCGTGTTGTTTCATGTATACGGCTAAAAGACGTGGACACCTCCAGCGAAACAACGAAATTTCGTAGAATCTCTAATTTGCACTCAAACTGAATAAAATGAAAGCCAGTTATGAGTTGTGTGGTCCATAGCAATCTTCATCGGACGGCAGCTCCCTTGTTTGCACGCCACCTTCGTCCTCAGCATCCAATATCCTCCGAGTGTTTTAAGCAACAGCGCGGCAAGTACAACACTTCAGGCATTGTTGCGCCCTGAAGGTCGAACTGCATAACACAAAATTTCAGATATCTCACTCGTCAAGTTACCAAGACACAGCACGCTCAGCAGGGTGGTATTAGATGCTTCACTGCAGCGTGTTACTAGTGCCACTACCGTGCAACGCCGAGCAGAGACGCCTGCCAAAACGTCGAAACTGTACCAGTAGATAGCGTGTAGACTGACGCCTTCAGCATAGGTAGCCATTCATTGTCTCTTCGATAAATTCCTACTTTTTCTGAGGTTTTATTTTGTGGTTTTCTGGATGGTTTCCTTTTTTCTGATGGGTCAGAGTCTTCTGAGTCTTCGTAGTTTTGCGGACTTTTGGGCCCATCGCCTGATGCACATACGAGCTTCCGTAGAAACCTCAGACCCATGAGCACTGCAACTATGCAAAGTGTGGGCCACTACCTCTCCATATTTCACCGTCGATTGTTACTTCAACAGTTCTTCAGATGAGGCATCCTAAGTAACCGGATGCACTATGGGTGCGTTGTGTCGACTCCTGAACAGTTCGCCATCCATTGCAATTTCTCAGCGTTTATTGGCAATTCTGTGCCGTAGTTCTATTTGTGAGTGCTTGATCCCACGTCGTCCTCAGTAGTTCGATCTGTACCAACACATCAGCTAATTGCGTGGTGTACCACAGTACACCTCCAGAGCCAGAAGGCATGGCCTGTGCAATGTTCAAAGTCAACCAACATCCCCTGTTTGTGTCTACTGAAAGAAATGTCAATCGGCATTACTCAATTCCATCCCTGGGGTCGCGTCCACTTGTCGTTTATTTTATTGTTTGCACAAGCATGATCGCCAGCCCCTAGGCTCAGTACATGAACAGTATGGCAGCAGCCGAAACAAAAGACCAGCGGAAGACGATAAAAGGGCATTCGGGTCAAGAAAAGCGCGCAAAAGCGATAAGCATCGCGGCACTTCAGCAACCTCGTGCATTCTCTAGGATGCTCCACGAGCGTCCTAGAAGCTGAAAACAATATGGCCCAGTTGTATTTTGTTGCGCTCGCATTTTTGGAATTTGTAAATTGTACTGCTACTTTCGCCACGGAGCACCGTATGAATTCTACCTGCCTTGCCGCATTTGCAGTTAGCCAAAATCCTTTCGTGTAACAACACTTCTTTCCGCTAGGAAGTGACTACCACAGGTATCCACGCCCCACCAATACAAAATTAAGAAGACAACGGTTCCTCGCAGTGTATGCTTGATGAGATGTAAAGGGAGATTCAGGGAGAATCAAACGAATGCTTGTCCCGAACGATAAGTTGGTAGCCATGCGGAACGCCCAAACAGATAAAGTGTCTCATGTCACACTCATCGTCTGTTTTTTACGTGCCCAAATATGCTTTTTCGGCATCGCGCTGCCAAAAATACCATGAAGGCCATACTCAGTGCAAGCGAAAAAGGAGGCTAGGATGGTTGATTCCACCACAATAAAAAATCCGGAATGAATGGGACTGATCCCGCGATTTGTTTCCGGAATTTGAAATATCTAGCTTACAGAGTCACGTATATTGTCATCTATCGACATTCGCCGCCCACGATCTCCGCCATTTCTGTCTCTCCATTGAGCTTTTAGGGACTTATAACACTGCATTACGACAAAACCGACAGCTACTGCTGCCAAGATGAAGATGAGGCTCGCGAAAAAAGGTGTAAAAGACTGTCCACTCCGGCCTAAAATTAAAGGAGTCTTCCACATCTGCCTATATGGTTCATTTTCAGGGTGTTGGGCCTGCATAGTAGGCGAATGTGTAGCTTCTACTTCGAAGAACAGGTTCTCCGTAGCGGCAACGATCAAGGTGAAACAGACCGAGAGCCAGCGATACATCTTGGTCGACGAAATGCAGCAATGCTTGGAAAAAGCCCTTTCTTTCCATACAGTGTCATGAAAATCACACTTTATTGAGCTCTGCCTCGTGTGTCTGCCCTGATCTGCATCGCTCCACTCAAGGTACAACTGAGACGCAGGCACTCGATTCTGACGATACTTCCGCAGTCTATGTTGCATCAATTTAAAGTTTAAACAGACATTATTAGACTATGACACTAAGGAAATAACACAAGAAGCCTTCAATGCGTGGCCACTATTGGCGTGCCTCTGCTCCTGACCTTTTAAGGTCAGGAGCAGATCATCAAGTTGCAGTCGGCAGGTGCGGCTTGCACAATCAACAGCAGCGTCTGCCGACTGCTGACTATACAGTAGCGTTAGTCATTATATCATATTGAAAAGCGAATACCAGACTAGTTTCGTAACGTTTCATCCGTGAGCCTCGAGCGGGTGCATTATGCCTGACGTGGGGAAAGCCGAACCACCCCAGGTGAACAGCGCAGCAGAGGACGGTTTCCGCAGTATCAACAAATTTAATTATCAAATTCTCGTACTTTCTTTGTGAGGCTTTCTAGTACAATGGTTCTAGCCTTTCATTTGAGATTGAAGCTACATTTGTGGTGTGTCCTGCCAAAGCCACGTGCTCTACGGTGTTCCCTGGTGGATATGTTAATATCCAAACGGGTCACTTTCGTGAGAAACTGATCCCCTCTCTTGATTGCCAAGACCGAAATTTAACTTTCTTACTTATTTTGCCTGTGTCAGGATCTAATCGTTGAAGCTCTTGTTGTTTGAGCTAAGGAGACTTCTACCTAGTGTTCTTGGCTTGCATCCCCTTAACAGTTTGCTCCTTTTTCTCCCCTATTAAATTTCTTCTCTGTGTGTGGCTATTAGCTTCTGTTCTGATTTCTTTGCGTGCGTCCCTACTGACTTCTCGGTTCACTTGCCTCAGTCGAGAGATATGTGTTCCAACTTTTCGGCTGGTCGCCTGTGAATTTTTTCTGTCTAGCTTTTCCCTCTTTCCTACTGCTCGTATGCCTTTCAGTTTCTTTAGTCATTCATTTTTTCTAATATTTGTGCAATTTCGCTTGCTTATTTCTTAATTGCTCTTCCTCACAGCAAAACGTAACACAGAGTAAGCGGTATTCTGTTAGTGCTGTTCATACCATAGCTGCTGCTGTTGCTGTTACTGCTGCTGACTCTCACTGCACCCTTGATAATTAGAACGCTACAAAAGTCATCGTGTTGGCCGATCAAATTAACTTATATCTTTTTACCGAATGAGGACACAAAAAGCGTCTACTTTTCACTCTGAGTCGTTTCCGCGTCCTTTTCGCTCGTATTAGTTCCCTCCACACTGTTGAGGAGTTGGTTTTCCCACTCAGGCGAGACTGGAATGACATTAGGGCCTGCTGCTACCGCACATATCATCCCTTTGCCATGGCTGTGCGGCCTAGAACGCTCGTCTCCAACCACGCCTAGGCCCGCATGTTTAACCGTTCTGTCTTCTCAGTACTAGGACGGGTGGGCTCCCTACTGCTCTTGTCCGCCGGCTCGGGCCGGCCTCGTTCATACGTAGGACAGTTCCGAACATAAGTTCCCACACCGCCACACTTCTTGCATATTTCCCCCGGACGTTTCGTACGTTCCCCTTTGCTGGGGCAGACACGTGCCGGATGTCCGCGACCCTGACACTCACAGCAGTTCGCGTGGGTTCCCCCAGGTCGATTTTAAATTTCCTGGCGCCCCTGGAGTCCATTAGCTTGGATAGCAGCCCTAATGGCTCGACTGGTCCTTTGTCCAAGTCCAGCATACTCTGCCTGGGCTCGTAGAGCCGTGTTGCGGCTGTCGCCACTTGTTCCCACGACTGACTTTCACCTGTCCGTTATTGGTTATTAGAAGGTGGAGGTCTGTCGGTAGCCCGGTGCAGTAATAGTCAGCGAGTTCGTCGGGGGCAACACCCAAACCACGCTCCGCTACAGCCGCAAACGGGTCCGTGTATTCCTTCGGGCTACCATTCCACCGTACTTTAGCCAACTCCGTTAACAATTGACTCTGCGACATTGTTTTGTCAAACTGCTCCAAAAGCCTGCGATGTACTGTCGCCTAGCCGCCTAGGTCGATAGTTCTCCGTAGATACATCCAATACGCTAGAGCCAGGCTCACGAGGTGGTCAATAAGTGCATTTCCCTCCTCGCGCGGTTCCAGTCCCATCTGGGTGTACCGGTGCTCGATGCGCAGCAGAAAGGCCTGCATAGTGCTGCCGTCTCCTGGTAGTATGGGAGTCGTTGCGCCGGATTCCACGGTCCCCTCTATAACAGTTCTTATCACACTCATAGCGGATTGGAATTGGTCGCACGTGACGAAGGGACTGTCCCGTGGCATAACATTGGTCATAGGTATCACCTGCGGGGGCGCCTCCTTATGCCCATGCAGCCGCTCTGCCACGGTGGACTTCGGAGTAGCATGGCGATGATGGGCCGGCGTCCCGCTCGGCATTTTGTTCACTGACATTGTAGAAGTCTCCTGCGGTGTGGGGCCGATAACGCGGCCGTTGCGGAGATGCATCCCTTACCGAGAGAAGAATTCTAGGCGTGAGTTATTAAAATATAGTATTTCTACTCCCAAGTCCGGAAAGAACTAAGATTTCAATCCCGGAACAGGCCCCAAATGTAGTGCACAGCGCCTACGCTGCTACCTGCCCCCTCGAGCAGGGCCTATGGTCGGCACCTAACGTTGGCCCATTTCCTTGAAACAGTAGCTTATATATATCGAAATACAGTTATTCTTAAGTTTCCAAAATCTGTTGTCGTTCAATTCGCCCCACTCGGGGTGCTCGCCTCCTAGGCCCTGTGTGGCCTTCACTGGTGCCGGCGCTATCGCCAGCCCCAGTCTCCACGCATTTTCAGGCACCTCTAGTGTATGCATGTTAATTCGCAAACGAATTGCCTTACTTTGATCTTAGTAGGAGGGTCCTGTCCTCCTCCACTTGCGACGCCTTGTAGGTCGCTAGCTAGCTATCTTCTATAGGTCACCAGCAAGCCCGATTGTAGTGCCTGTGCACTACAACTTCCCCCCTTGCCGGACTGAAGAGAACTACACGGAAATGCATTACTTTTTGCCTTTTCAATCTCTGCGCTCTTCTAAAGCTAACGCCGTGAGTGCACACGGTGCGCGGCGCTCCCTCCCCCTTCCTCATTGAAGGGTGCCCGTGCTGCAGGCAGTGGAATGTGACGGACCCACACCTCTACGCCTCGGAAGGACCAATGTTGTTTCGAGCCTGAAGATGTCTTCTTTGGCCGCGGCGCCAAGCGCGAAGCAAAGCAGGACAGCCTGTAAGGTGGTGAGCTGGCTCCCATGTGGCTTGATCTGCAGGGGTCCCGCGCCACTTCACGAGGTACTGGGCTGCATCTCCCGAGCCGCGTTTGTCCATAATATAGCCGACTTCGTATTCCTCAGTGGGATTGCCTGCTACATCGTGGATAGGAGGCTAGGCGCCGTCGGTTGCCGGGGGAACCAAAGCGGGAGGGCGGGGGCGGTGGGGAACTACCTGCGAAACGTGGAAAACGTTATGGCATTCATAGGTGGGAGGCAGAGCGAAACGGTAAGCGACAGTTCCTATGCGTTCGATGACTTCGAAGGCTCCACGGTAACGGGGCTCGAACTTAGGGCAGCTGTTGAAAGGCGTAGGTGGTTGCTGCTGAGCCAGACCTTGTCTCCTCCATTGCTCGACGCTTTGTGTCTGCGTAGCACTTCTGCTGCCATTTTGCCTTCAGGATGTGACTCTGTGCTCTGTCGCAGAGCTGCCGGAAAAGCTTAGTCACCGGAGGAGTGAGCGTAGGAGCTAACTCGCCTACGATATCAAGGTCCGCAGCAGTCAACGGGCTCTCGCCAATCATGACCTCGAAGGGAGAGAGCTCAGTAGATGAATGACTTGTTGTGTTGTAGGCAAGTTCCAAGGCCGGAAGCAAACGCTCCCACTCGCGTTCGTCAGATCTGATATAGGTACTAAGCATCTGCTCCAGTGTGCGGTTAACCTGTTCAGTTTGGCCGTCGCTTTGGGGATGGTAGGACGAGGACATGCGCCGTTTGATGTTAAAGCGGCGACAGAGTTGGTTCCAGAGATCCGACTGGAAACGGGGGTCGCGGTCCGATATGAGCACCTCTGGAAAGCTGTGATAGCGGATAAGACGGTCTGCGAGAAGCTCCACAGTGTCTGCTGCTGTGAATGGCTTCTTTGCAGCAACGAAATGAGCCATCTTGCTGAGGGAGTCGACCATGACAAGAATGGAGTCGTGCCCTGTTCGTTGTAAGGGAAAGATCTGTGATAAAGTCAAGAGTCACGTGCGCCCACCGACGAGAAGGGATGAGCAACTGTTGAAGAAGGCCTGCAGGCTTCTGGTTAAGAGACTTTGACGCTCGACAGTGAGTGCATGACTCAACATAAGCAGTAGTGTAGGCGCGCATTCCTGGCCAGTTGTAGTGCTTGCTGAGAGCCGCAAAGGTCTTCTTCTGGCCTCGATGGCCGGCTATGACATTGTCGTGATGTGAATGCAGAACTTGAGTAAGGAACTCAGGGAATTTTGGGACGCAGATGCGCCACAGTCCATGAAGGCGGATGTGCAGGTAAGGCTCTACGTAGCGAAAGGTGAATTGGCGATCACGAAACTCGATTTGCAGAGTTTCTCCTGGTTGTTTTGCTGCGGCATTGTAGGGAACGCGAAAAACGGGACACTTCGAGTAAGCTTGAGGCCATTGGCGCACATCAGGAGGGTCAGCTGGTGTCTTCGCTGTGAGTGTAGGATGTTCCGCCTCTGGGTTGGGTTCCGGCGGCGCAGGTGAAGGTGCGGACGGCAGGCTACGTCGTCTAGGTCGTCGCGAACGAATTCCGGCGAGCTCCCTGTAGTTGGCAGGCCGCCCACGAGAGCGGGGAGCCGCGCTCACATGTCCTATTGCGAGCATCAGTGGTGCGAGCAGGTGTTAGGAAGACCGGGACGACGAGACAAGACATCAGCAACTTGATTGCGCGCTCCTTGAACATAAGTGATGTGCAAATCCGGGAACTCCGCAAGAAAGTCTAGCCACCGGGCGGTGCGTCCGCGCAGAGGCTTCGATGCTTGGATTCGTTGGAGATGGGTGAGAGCTTGATGATCAGTGTAAGCCGTTACCTTGGAGACACGGAGCAAGTGCGACCACTTGTCCAGTGCCATGACCAACCCCAAGAGTTAGTTCCTGATCGTAGATCGAGTGTCTCTGTTGCGTGGGGTTCATGACTTGGCTGAGGAAGCCGATGGGCTTGCCGTCTTGTTCCAGAACTACTCCGATCGCATAACCAGAGGCATCTGTGTATAACTCGAAGGTTTTCGTGGTGTCAGGGACTTGTAATGTAGTGAAGTCGATTAAGCGCTGTTTGAGCTGCCGCACCGCTTGCGTGTGAAGCTCTGTCCATTCGAAACTAACGTCTTTACGCGTAAGGTCAACCAGCGGCCGGGCAACGTCTGCATAGTCCGGTCCCATGAACGTGCGACAGTAATTTATGGTACCGAGGAACTGGCGCACTTGCGTTTTGTTCTCCAGTAACTCTGGACAATGCCGGATGGCTTCAATTTTGTCTTTTGCAGGTTTGATCCCCGCAGCAGAAGTGGTATAACCCAAATATGTAATTGTTTGCCTTGCAAACTTGCATTTGCGGAATTTTGGGTAGAATTGATACCTAAAAAAAATATTAAGGACTTGTCGCAGCAGAGAAACGTGCCCAGAGAGATCGGAACTATAGATAAGTACATCATATAGGTACGCAATAACGCCCTATCCCAACAAAGGTTGTAGATAGGCATTAGTATTGGCCTGGAACGTAGCCGGACCACCCTTAAGGCCAAAGGGCATTACTCGGTACTCGAACAGTCCCAGAACGGACCGGAAAGCCGTCTTCCACCGGTCTTCCTTAGTCATACGTATTTGATGGAATCCTGCTTCAAGATCCAAAGTAGAAAAATACTTGGCGCCTCCCAGCATCTCCAGAATGGTTTGAATGGGAGGTAGTGGAAAATCAGGGGCTATCGTAAGGGCACTTAGAGCCTGGAAATTGACAACCATACGCATCTTCCGCTCCCCGGAACCATCATCACGTTTGTCTACCATGATCGTAGGGGAGCAAATAGACGAGTAGGTCGCTCCGATCCAACCACTGTCCGATAATTTAGTTAACTCCTGTTTGTGGAATGTGCGCTGATCTGGGGTCATACGGTATATTGCAGATTTCGCTGGAAGATTTCCAGGCACAAGTAGAATATGGTGATCATGAGGGCGCTTCGGCAGTAATCCCTTTAGTAATTTATCCGGAAAAACCGCGCGATGCTCGTGCAACACCTGGGCATTCTCACATGGAATATCCTGCGCCTCTGTCGAATTTATCCATTCGTCGAACAGAG